CCCACCGTGACACGAGTCCCCATGAGTCTGTGTGTAGTCAGGTTTAAGTCCCCACCAGGATAGAAAAACCTGTACACACTCACACACACACACATAAACAGACACAGACACACACACAGACACACACACACACACAGAGCTCTGTTCCAGTGAGCTGCCTACATAGGGAGCATCTGAAGGCGTCACTGCCGTACCTTGCCAAATCCTAGAATGCATTGCAACCAGCTCCATGAAAAAATTAATATAAATACCTTTATTCAATTCAATACTGAAATTTCTATAATAGTCAAGTAAAGTCACATTCATTTATATTGGGCTTTTCACAATACACATCGTTTCAAAGTAGCTTTACAGAAAATCATGATGTCATTGTTAATGTTTTTTACATTAAATGTTCCCAACTCAGTCCAATCCTCAAGAATCAGCTAAAAACGCAGCTCTTCCATCTAGGGCTGGGCGATTTGGCAAAAAAAATAAAATATTGATTTTTTTTCAGAACGTTTCACCGATTCTCGATTTTTTTTTACAATTTGTAACTAGTTAACTTTAAAATGTAACTACAACATGATTCAAGTAACTTTTTCTTTATTAACCCTCTACTTAAAGAAAACTCTATTCCGAGTGCAGCACACATGAAATTATGAACATGATGTAAATGTTAAACTAATAACTTGTTAAATATCTTCGCAGAAAAGATGCATGAACAACTACATCTTGTACAAACTTGTCTTATACATCTTATATGTTCAGAAATAATAGGCTATAATAAAAATGCTTCAAAAAATTCTCAACAGTCAATGTAACTCAAATTCAAAATGACTGACTTTATACATAGAATCCCAAAATTGTACATTTCTAAACTGTACTTCTAAATATATCTGTACATTCATTTAAACAGTTACGTTTCTCTATATTTCTACTTCTGTATATAGTGCATTATTTAATTTTCTGTTTTTCTTATATTAGTGTTATACTCCATCTCTACTGTGTAATTCCTATGTCTGCTGTCTGTATATTTCTATTAAAATAATATTTCTATTAAAATCGATTTCAAAAAAATTAAATCGTGGCAAAACATTAAATTCGAATTAATAGATAAAATCGGAAAAATTGCCCAGCCCTACTTCCATCTTTATCTGACCCTCTAACTCCAGCACTCTATTCTAATTCTATTCTAAACAAAGAAAAAAAACTTGCCCCTTTTAAACTTGCACTCTATTCATTTACTAACTGCTTGTTTTCTTAAAAAAAAAACTTAACACTAGCTTCTCTATTCTATCTATTTGTTTTCTTTTTATTTATTATACAATTAACAAAAAGCAAAAAAAGGCTCTTGTGTTGATTTTGATTGCTTCTATTGTCCTCATTTGTAATTCGCTTTGGATAAAAGCATCTGCTAAATGACTAAATGTAATGTTTATAATATCGCAATATCTTCATAGCGTATAATTGCATTTATCAGATTAGTAGCTGGACGATAAAATAGTTACCTTTTGTGACGATATAAACAAACAAGCAGTTGAGATTTGCAATATAGTATATATATATCGCTTTATGTAAGTGTACTACTGTGTGTATGAGGATAAAGTTGGATATTCTAGTATATAATAGTTTGGTGTAATGAAAAATAGCCAGTGTTTGTGTTGCTGTGTATTTTTATGCTCAGAGTATTGTGTCATGAGTTTAACATCATGGAGGCATCAAACTGAATCAAGTGTGTGTGTGTGTGTGTGTGAGAGTGTGTGTGTGTGTGTGTGTGTGAGTGTCTGTGTGTGTGTGTGTGAGAGAGTGTGAGTGTGTGTGAGAGAGTGTGAGTGTGTGTGAGAGAGTGTGAGTGTGTGTG